AACCCTCATGGAGGGCGGCGGCTGTTTATGAAGACTCTAGGGTCGTGCAAGACCCTGGGCGCGCCCTAACGGGCCCAAACTCGATACATGGTCCAACGGACCAAAAGACGGTGTCGCAGCACCTTGGCAGATTCTGGACGCTGACTTGTTTCAACGATTCCCGTTGATTCCGAATAGCTTTTGACGTGAAACCACTTGGATTGGCTTCCTTATCAAATTAGCTTTCCATCCATATGTGGATCATCGAAAACGGAGTCCGGATGCGTCCTGGGCGACCAGTTTAAGGCAGACTGGTCCTGAAGGCCGAGGCAGACTCGAATTCGTGTTGGACTGGGCCTCCGGCTTGTGTTGGACGTCCTTGCTGGTCATCATCACCTCCTCCACGTCCTCTTAGTCCATCTTGACCCTCTCCAATGTTCCTAAGCAAGATAACATCATTAGGTAGTAGTCTATTCTCAAAAGTATGAAAAGGATCGCTTAAGAATGAGCTCATCTGTAAATTGAGTTGACGCATTCGAGCCCGGGTCATTGGACCTTGCATGACAGTTGGAGGATCAGCTGGTACATCCAAAGGAGTGATGTCCTCATCAGGAGGGGCGCGCAGCAACCAGCGTGGTGGGCTAGGAACTCGTCCGTCGTCCAATGCCATGCAAGGCAAGAGCACGAAGAATTGAAGAAAACTTGATCTGGGCTTACAGTCTTTGTGTCCAGATGCATTTTTCTCCGCCGAAGATGCCCAGCATCGACGTTTTTTCTTCTCTTCCAGCCCAAAACCAGTGGACGTCGTCGTTGAAGAACAGGTTGTGCCGGCAGCATCAAAATTCTTCTACGTAACTCCTGTGCTTCGCCATATCAGGAGATCGAGATTGGCCTCCACCGTCAAGAAAGAACAAAATTGTCCTCGAATTGTCGTCGGTGTTCTCATCGCTGGTGAGACCGGCGTGCCTTCGGTTTTCCGTCTGGACTGCGATGGACAGAAGCCATCGAGTTTCGGAAGTCGCCAAAACTCAGGGAGGAGCAAGTGCGTGATAACGTGTCAGAAAACAGAGAACGACTGAGATCGATTGATGCAAATAATTGTCTGTTGTATTTCAATGAACAGAAATATATATATATATATATATATATATATATATATATATATAAAGTTCACATGAGCGGTTACCAGTGTGAAAAGAGTGGTATCCATCACTTTTAATATCGTGATTAAATATACGAATCTAAATAATAATTCTTAACAAATCTATCGAACATTTTCTCAGGAAATAAAACAGGCATCGAATCATCAAATCTGGTATCCATCACTTTTAATATCGTGGTTAAATATACGAATCTCATAAAGTATTGTCGCCAGTGGCTCGAATGGCATAATAACACGTACGGGGGCGGTGAGTGATCGAGCGGGTGATTTGATGTGTGTCCATCATCAGTTTGTGTTTGCATTTTTCTCCGGCAATTCGGGGAGCATGGAGGGGACTTGGACGCAGTGATGGATGGGTCTGGAATTGGAATATTTATTCATTTATTTATTTATTAGATTATGTGCAAATAGGAGGATGCGTTTTCATGCTTTATTATTTCACCCTCAATTGGGCTCGAGAAAGCGAGAGTCGCATCCCATCACAGGCAGCACCAAACACACGTCCTTCTCCCACGTGGGGCCATGCCTTCTCTCTAGGTTCCCCGCGGGCCCCACCCCAATAATTACACTGCGCCCTTCCTTGAGAGCTGCTGCCATCGTCTACAACTTCTTTCACACTTGTTTCGTCAATGTATGTATGTATATAACATAAGTACCGTGAAAAATGGAATCGTATATGCAACTTATTCTTTCTATTTGCTCCTTTTTTTTTTACTAAAAAAAGTGTGCGACTCCATGGCAAATTAGGTACAAAATGATCCTGGAAAAAAGAAAGAAAGGAAAAAAGTTGGTACACCATGAACAATCAAACATGATGCTTTCCCCCAAGGAAATTATTAAGAACGTGTTTGCCCGGGCTCCACTCGGCCTGCTCTTGTGCGAGAGCCGGAGCCGGAGTGCCGGAGCCTCAAATCGAGGCTTCACCTGCCGTACGTCAAAACGGCTTCTGCTCTCTCATTTCACGGCAGAAGGGCTCCTCCGGCCTATAGCGTTTGGTGCGGCTCTACTGCCGGAGCCAGAGCCGGAGCTGTGCGGGAGCCGCACCAAACACGCCCTAACTCCAACACCCTAAACACACAACAGTTCCACGTTTTCAATATTTCCTCACTTTCGTTCACTGGGCCTGTTCGCTGGTGGGTACTGGTGTTGGTTTGGGTTGATTGGTACTGATTTTTTGTGAGAGAAAAATAATATTAGCTGACTAGTTTGGGTTGACTGAGACTCACTGTCAGCACACTTGCTACTTGTCTCTCGCAAGAGCGCTTCCACACGTAAGCGTATTTTCCCCAACTCATAAAGACTGTCCACACCAGACTCCCGTGCGGTGCGAAAAACGGGTGCCAACACGGGACGGGAGGAGGGAGGGTGACCACTGACCACACACCAGAGGATTCGGCAGCGTTTGTTAGGTCTGTGCGCCACGCGCGGATCTGCCGGCGCGAATTTGCCATGAAATTTGCAACGGCAGCCCGGACGGGATCTGCGATTCTGTCGCTTGGGACCCGCCTGCCTGTGCCCCACGGGATGCCAAGGCACAATTTAAAGCGGCCCCTGGCAAACGTGGCAGGGTACTCAATACTCTCGTACGGTCTCTTTTATTTATGAACAGGCTTGGGTTGGGATGGGTTGGCCGGTTGGGAGAATCCTGTTCCGCTTCCGCCTTGGAGGGAGGGAATAATACAAAAAAAAATCCATCACAGACACATTGTATTCGGACCACTCGAACCGACCACAAGCGTACATTTGTTCGGAGGAGCTTTCCGGTGGTCGTCCTCAGCAGTGGTCATGTTCGCTGGTCGATGCTGGTACTGATTTCGGCTTTATGCTGATTTTTTAGAGAAAAATCGTTACCGACCCATTTAAGCTTGCGTAAACCAACGAAATGAATGAGCAATTTGTGTAGGTTTTTGAGAATCTTGTACCGTTGTTTAGAATTTAAATGTGTACAGTATTTCACTGCAAAACTCGTTCCCCTCAAACTCCATGCAAAATAAAAATAATAAACACAAAAGGGAAAATAAAGAGGAAGAAAAGTACAGAAGAAGCGAAATGAAGACGGGAGTGAGGAGGCACGGAAAGAAGAGAAAAGAACAAAAAGAAGAATTAAAGAAAATATAAGCGGAGAGGAGAGAGAGAGGGACAGGGAGGGATGGAGAGAATCAGGTGCAGGTGGTGTTTGCGTAGCGTAGGTGGCGTGACGTGCGATGCTAGATTCTGCTCCCGCGCCGGCACCGTGGTCGTCGCCATCGCTCTTCACCCCGAGGCCCCGGCCCAGCCCCACTGCACCCTGAGTCGCATTCCTTGTGCTCCTCCGCCGCCCCCTGGCCTGGCCTTTCCCGTGGCCGCCGCCGCCGCCGCCGTGTTCCTGTTCCTTCCCCTGGATCTCGTTACGTGGAAAAAGGGTGGGAGAGATGCTCTCGTCGTCCTCGCCGGACTCGGACACACCGCACACTTGGCCGGCCGCCGGCGCAGCGGCAGATGGTTCCGTTCCGCCCCCAAACAGCCTAAAAATCCCTTGTTCCTAGCTCTCGAAATAAGTTCCTTTTTCATCAAAAGGAGAAACTTGTAAATAAAAAGAAAAACGCCGGTGTCACTTCGCCTCAGTCACAACGATGAATGAGTATTCAATTTTCTCCTTACAGAAGAAGAAAAAAACAGAGAGTATCTTCTCTCCATGATTGCTGCCAATCATACACCTACATGTCACAGAGCTCAACTACAGTATCTCTCTTTTCAATTTGCTTGATTTAGACGCTTTAATAGCATGACAGCATACACACACATAAACTTCCTGATTCTGCACTGCACAGATCTCTCGTGTACGTGTACAGCACACATCACAGGCCCACAACTCTACACAAAACTACGCAACAAGTCCACCAATAGCGCTGCATTATTAGCACAAAAAACAGCACATTATTTTCAATACCGTGTATTTAAGTACGGAAAAGATTCCCTGCGAGACGAGACGCGAACTGATCAGCTGTTGGTACACCATACAGGTAGACAAAAGTGTACGTCTACCAGAGAACAAAAAATATTTCCCCCCCCAATGATGAAGCACGAGAGGGACGTGCCAACAAAAAAGCCACGATGTTGTCATCCAACAACCAATGGAGATGGACCTAGGGTTCTGGGTGCTGCACAAGACAGAGGATCCGTAGTAGTGTGTGCCCACTCACACAGCAAATCAGCAATGATCGACCTGAAAATGCCAGCAGACCAACCAGCAGACGTACTCCGTACAACATTGCTCCCAAACAGTCATACACGCTGATAATTTGGCCGTTGAAAGTCTTTTGTAGTGTCGAGCGCACGATTTCCTGACCTAATAGATTCCACAAAATCTTCACATCATAGACAGTAGGTTGAAAATTACAGTTTGGAAATGGAATTGCGATCTTATCTAGCTAGTCTGCTGTTCGGTCACTTTACTATGCAGATTGCACAGGTAAGGAAGCTATGATATGAATGAAATTAACTGGCGTCCAGGTATCAGCAACTAAGCATAGTACTGCATAGAATGGCAAAACATAGTGACATTCTTTAAGAAAAATCAAGGAATTGGTCTTCTTGAACAGGCATCGTTATTCAATTCAAAGAAATAAAATGAAAACCTACCGCTATTGATTGTAAATACATGCTACAGAAAACAAAAACCAACACGTACCATGACTGAGCATGGCGCTAATATATATTTCCTATATATTTTCGTTCCTTTCCTTGGGTGGTCCTGTCACCTATCATCCTCTGGCTACATACAGAACTCAACAGAAAGTATTATCTTAAGAAAATTGGAGTTACAATGGAGAATCCTCCCCTTAGGATTTAGCTCAGCTTTCCAGCAGATTAGTTTAGGTCATCTGCTGGCATCTGCCTCCTCTGGTATCACAGTTAAGGTCACTGTCACATTGTTCGCTCTTTTAACAAGAACTTTAAATGGTACTCCGACCTTGTCCCCCATGATATCAATGATCTGCAGCGAACACTTTATTATCGTGTTTGTACAAATAAAGAAAAATAATATAATCTTCCTCTTGAGTTGTGGGTTTGAAAGAAAAGGAATATTGGAAGGAAAAACAAATGTACCACTACTAGCAATTGGCTCTAACCAGGTGTTTTTTCATGTCGAAATTCAAATAAGATATTACAACTTAATATGATAACTACTTTCAGGGAAAAGAAAAGGAATCCTGCAAGTATATTAAATCGTATGGCACACATTTTTTTGAAATGGCCGCGGATTTTATTAGACGAAGAAAAAACAAAGGTAAGTGCCGGCCCATTTTTTTTTAATGGAAACTGGCCCAAAAAACCACGATACAACTTCAAACCAACAACTAAAACCATCATGTACCACACATCACTAGTAGTTATCTTTTTAGTTACCTCTTTGATGCTCTCAACTGGTTTGCCACCAAATTCAACAACCACATCCCCAGGACGAAATCCTGCTTGTTCAGCTGGAGATGCTGGTGTAACCTGATTGAGAACCCACATACTGTCAGCAGACCCATCATTGAGAAGGTATTATCAGAATCAGTATGACAAAAGTGAAGTGTGCCAAACATATATTCATAACTCACACAGCGAGCACAGTAGCTTATATCACATAGTACAAGGTGTGTTATTTCATAAGCGGAATTAATAATAGCTTACCATAGGAACAAGCACCCCCTTTTCTTACATCTGGAAAAGTACTTGATTTTTCTTTGAGCTGTGCAATGATCATGGGATTCAGGTCAAGCATCTTTAAACCAAGCCATGGCCTTACAACTCTCCTGCATTGTATATTGGAAACAAGCATAAGCGGCTCCCAGACATGCAGGTAAACAAACATGAATAGTATAAGTCGTCCAAAATAAATCTACTCAAAAGGTTGGTACACACAGTCTTACTCCCACAGATAACTTGCTTTCTCCAATTACAAACATAAGTTTCCATTAGGACATTGATATGGCCTTCAGTGTGACACTTTGACTAGCAATATCTATAAAAATATACTATCATAATGGAAATAGTTATAGATTATGAAAGGATTTTTATAATGGATCTAACATAATCAATCTTGAGTAGTCCACTGGCGGAGCCTCATAGAATAGAGGCGAAACTGGGCGTTGGCCCCCCCCCCGCCTCTGACAAAAGAAGAGTCACAAGCTTACGAATCTCTGAAGTTATTAAACTGACACTAATTTAGTGCAAGAAGGAAAGGCAGGGATGAGAAAAGACAGGACATGTGAAGTGGTAGCTGCATGCTACTTTAGCTATGACTGACCGCAGGAGAAACAAGCAGGCGATGGGAAGTCATGCCAGACTGCCACTGCAACTGCTACAGTAGCACCTTTTAAAACATAGCCCCCCCCTTAATTCTGATCCACCCTCGGCCACTGGAGTAGACGATTTGTATAAAATTTTATATGTTGATCGCAATTTTTTAATAAAAAAATTTACTTGGTACAAACCTAGATGTACATATATTTATGATTGAAGGATCTAATGAAGTACTATTTTTTTTCTCGAATACGCAGGAGAGCTGCGTATCATTGCATTAATGAAGTACTACTATCCTTTTATCAGATAGAATGAAGCTTGGAAACACTAATGGTATTGCATTTTTCATTGTTTCATTTTATTCACACAAGTACTTTATTACATGTTTTGAACTTCCAATCACTAGCTCAATCCAAGAGCACAAATCATACCAAACTATAGAAAGAAATTCCAAAGAGAAAGCTAAAAGACGGCAGTACCATGATATAATAAATTGCAAGCAGTATTATGCTATGCGTAAGAGTAAGGCATACCCATTTTTCTTAAAGTTCTCTACTATTTTAATGACAGAGTCAATTGGTACTGCAAAGCTCAAACCATCAGCATTCCAAACTTTCATCACATTAACTCCAATAATCTCACCATCAAGGTTCACAAGAGGGCCTCCAGAATTTCCCTGCAGCATACAAATGTGTCAAAATAGTTTATTCAACAGATACTGAGAAGGAAAACAGAATCCAACAAAATTGAGAATCATAAACAATGTGTATATGCATTGCAAGTAAAAGGCATGCTACACTGACATTTTAATGTTTATTTTGACTAGAATCTACATAATCTTCTGCATTTTGTCGGGACATGATGAGGTGAGGTGACAACTGATGAGGCATAGTTACATGGCCAAAACATTCAAGAAGAACTAGTAAACTCATAGCAAATGCAAGATACTTGCACACTAATTTCACATGTTAGCAACACAAAACCAACGGTCTTGCCTTTATTAATAGCGCAATCTGTTTGCAGATACTCCCTTCGTAATCCTCCAAGACCCAGATCACTGCTTTTCCGGTCAACACAGCTACAACAAAAAGAAAAACAAAAGTCAACGTAGACAATTTTAGTCAACAAACAAAAAAATGTATGCATGCAATTTTTCATGAAACTACTAGTATTAATGATAACTCATGAGAGTAAATTGAATAAAAATGATTAGGTCTTAACCTGACAATACCAGCGGTAACTGTGTTCTGAAGAGAAAGTGGACAGCCCAGAGCAACAACCCAATCACCTGGCTGAAGTCGAGATGACGATCCAAGCCTGGCAGCCGGTAAAGGGGGTCATAGATTTAATCTTCACAACGGCAATGTCAGACAGGCGGTCAGCATTAAGGACAACACCTTCAAATTCACGACCATCTTGTAAAGTCACACTAACCTGTAACAACATTCAACCTTCTAAGAGAAAGATGATGAAGGAAACAGTAGTGTAAAACATAATAACCTCAACGAAATCATAATCAGTGATTTCAAGCAGCAAGCACAGATACATATCATGCTATGTAGCAAGTGTTGTAATTATCCATGCTGCTATAGCTTGGAGGATTGGGTCACTAAGTTTAGAACATTAACCCTAGTACTTAGTAGATAAACTATTGTTGGTTAATCTCAGCTTAAAAGAAAGGTAAAAGGATTAAGGACATTAAGTTAACTCAATTACAGAATTAAGAGACAATTTTGAAACAAATCAAGACCAAAACTGTCCTAACTAGGTACGAAATACAGAATATTAGCATCCACTACTGCCAAACTCTTCTCTCCCCAAGGATAAATACAAAAGCATCAAAACTTACTTATATGGAGTTAAATCAACCCTTCAGAAATCAGAACTAGTGTCTGAAATTTAGCAAAGAACGAGCTACCAAATTGACACAAATGGTTCTTCAAACAACAATCCAAATGCACGCTTCACATTGTCCACATGACCAATGATAAGCGGTTGACGGTATTTACACAGTCAGCATGTAAGGATAAGATAGTGCCAAGTTAGCAACCTTTCTCCTCACAATTGCTTTTGTGCTTTGGAAATCTGCAACAACATGCGCACATGTGAATATTGTCCCATCTGGATCTATTATAGTTCCAGATCCGATGCTCTGCTCTTGCACCCATCCATGCATATCTACAAAAAAAGGTGATTTGAAAAGTTCAGTGCACACAGCTACAACACTGGTGAGGAATTTGACAGTTTTCCATTAGACGAGAATGTTCTCACCATGCATAGAAGAAATGTTTACAACAGCAGGACCAACTGCAGATGCCGCCTTGGCAATCGAATTCCTGCCTAGACACCCTGGGCAGCATCTTGAATCACCTGAGCTTCCGTCAGAACCTTGGTCTCTGTGGTCATCAGGTGAAACCGATGCAGACGCGAAGGTATTTAGTATAGGGAACCCTAGAAACACATTTGGACACAGTAAGATCTTCAACACAGAGATCTATCTTACCAAGACGAAGATAACAACTAACAAGGCAACTGCAGTTTCAGGTAAAGCAAAAATGCACTTCAGTCTCATCAGAGTTAATAATTAAGGACATATTAAAGGTTCTAACTACAATCATTCCCGATCATATCTTCGTCAGTTTTGACCATCCTTAACTGTCAACTGTAACTATGATGCACATAGGTAACTCAAAAGTTTATCATATTTTGAAAAGGATTATTGCCCGGACTCAAGCTAAGACCCTGCAAGCAGGCTGATGATATGATATTTAGAAATTGCCACCTATCTACATGATCCAACACATGCAACTTTTCATGACATGCCCTTGTACATTACAAAGCGTGTTCGTCTCGACATACATTGGTCCACTGACTATCAGTAGTTCAGTACGGCTGAAAAGCTCAGAGTCCAACCTCAGGTACCTCTACTGAATTGAACTAACAAGACCCGCCAATGCGCATAGTGCCGTACGCAGTATGGTCTACCTGAATCCAGACACTCACCACACCATCCCAGACAATCAGACGGAGGTCTAGCCGAGACGCAGACTCAGGCCCAATCGAGTGACATTCCAAAATCCCCGAACCCAAAACCCCTTGGACGGGCAACCACTCTCGAGTCTCTACTCCGCCACGCGGCAAAAGACCGTCTCCCCGACGGCCCAGATTGAAGAAGAAGAAGAATAAGAGGTGAAAACGGACCTTGGTACGGAGACGGGAGCAACCACGGGGAGAAGAGGCGGGTGCCGGAGCGGAGCTCCTCGGCGGCGGCGGCGGGGAGGGCCTGGCGGAGCGCCTGCGGCGGGGAGACCGAGGCGTAGACGGCCGTGTCGGGGCCGCGGCCGCGCGAGATGGCGGCGGCTGCGGCGAGGAGGAGCGCGGCGCGGCGGCCGCAGCGGAGGAGCATTCTGGAAGGATCGCTGGCTGGCTTTGGCGTGCCGCACACGAGGAAAGGAACGGAGGAAACGCAAGCAGAAGCAGAGCAGGAGCGGCGCGGCCGTCGCGAAGCGTCTGCTGTAGGGGAGAGAGAAAATGGACCTTTCCCGCAGCCCGCAAGAAGCTATGGTAGAGCCGAGTTGGGCCAGCAAACCCGCACGAATTCAGTCCAACCGCCACTACTCCTCCTCGCATGGAATGGTGTTGAGAGCTCGACGGAGAAAATTGACTAGAGCACGCCGCTCAGCCTCTCTAGCGCTAATCAAATGGTTTGGGGGGAAACGAAGCGAGGAATCGCTAGCCTATTATTTAGCGCAAGGTACTGTCCTCCTACGCTTTTGGATCCAAACCATCTCTACGCTTACCTTCTCACACCCTCAGATATGAATTGCATCTGCACAGCAACTGCAATGGCCGAGCCTTCTGCCAAGCGCACACGGATGGAGGAGGAATCTGTGCCAGAAGCCAAACGCGCATGGATGGATGAATCGGAGGATGAAGACGTGCCCGATGGCATCAACGTCGTTCAATCCCTTTGGATGTGGCGACGCATGGGCACTTAGCCTCTTCCAGAAGAGTTACTGGAGGATGAACGTTGTGCTAACGGAGCTCGGTCAGGGCACCGTCATCAGGATGCAGAGGAGAAAGTGCCCAATTACGCTTATGTTTTTCACCTACTCACCGATAACCTGGACAAACTGCCGGGCACCCTGAAGGCCGCCTCAAGGAGGTGGCTGACAAGAAAGGAGTATGAGTAGTAGACATGTAATTATCTTAATTATGTTATGTTAATTATTATGATAATAAGAATTTGCTTAATTATGATGCATGCCCATTAATTTATTATCATTTTAGTTTTCTTATTATGTGTGCACCCGTAACTGTATCGATGTATGAATCTCTTCGTTATTAGTATCTTTCTTTCTTGTTTAGTTATGTTTTCTTGTGGGAGGAGACATGCAGATCTGCTTCTTGATCGTGAGAGCTGTAAGATGGAATATAACGCCGTGTTTAGTTGAAGTCCAAAATCCAAAAAGTTGCTACAGTACCTGTCACATCGAATGTTTGTGGCACATGCATGGAGCATTAAATGTAGATGAAAAGAAAAACTAATTGCACAGTTTGGTGGGAAATTGCGAGACGAACGTTTTGAGCCTAATTAGTCCATGTTTGAACACTATTTGCCAAATAAAAACGAATGTGCTACAATAGTCCCAAAATCCAAATTTCGCGAACTAAACAAGGGCTAAACCACCCAATCTTGAATAAGGAGCACCTCACAAACTTGAACCCCAACACCATCTTAGTAAGGTGATTTATCTCACGTCTGTGTAGCCAAGGCAAATACTACGACACTTAAAAAATGGAGTAATAAGCATCACAGTCATTCAGTTATTAATTATTTTTAAGGCAAAAACTATATATAAATGACACAGTAACAAGCATCACAGCCTCGTGAGGAAAATTTTCATTGATAACTTCAATTACATTCCACAAGTGGTACAATAACAAAGACATGTCAAAGACTACTGAGTGTGTAATAACAAAGACCTATCGAGTACAGGTACAACTCATATTAGAGTTTGGAGCCTAACAGAAGATCTGCGATCATCAAGGTGCTCTCCTATTGAGCACCCTAATGACCTAATAGGCCGCAGACAAGGAGAGCAAGTGTAACACCCTAAAATTTGGTTCTCTTAAAATAGAGCTAAAATGATTTAATTTTGTATTTTTATGCTCATAAAAATATGGGGAAATAATAAATTTTCATTAGATTAAAATTTATCTTAAGGTAGAAATGTGTTTGTTGCATTCATCTTGGTCGCACCTTGTGTTTCTATGTGCAAAATGTGTTTTTTTAAAATAAGTTTAGGAGACAAATATCTATCTCTAGGAATTTTCCAGCTTCTTTCTGAAATTTAATTCCTATCTCCTTCACCTTAATCTTCATGTTCCAAGTGCCCAACAATCTTTTCATGAGCTTTAAATACTTTATTTTGGTTCATCATGTTCCAAAGTATCTCTAGGAATTTTCCCCAATTTTTCGAAGGTCTCGGAGTATTTTTCATGGCTTAAATATCAATTCTGGACTTTTCTAGAATTATTTTATTCGCAAAATTAATTAATTACAAAAATAAATAATATATCTCATTTTCCAACCAACTCTCAAAGCCCATGTGCAATAATTCTAATAAATCGCAAAGGGCCATGTATTTATTTACTAATGGGCTTTAATGATTATTTAGGTCTATTAGTAAATGTGGAGGGCGCAACATCAATTAATATTATATTGCTAGTTGATGTAGATGTGGGGAGTTTTTCTACCTATAAATATGTACCAACTCCTTGAGCAAAGCACACCAAAATTATCATAAGGAGGCCCCTAGTTTGGGAAATCCCTCATGTAGTAAATTAGATTTTTCTTCTCCTTCTCTTATCGTCGCCGCGCTGTAGACCCGTCGTCGACTGCAAGAAGGCCCTAGGTGAGTTTGTCATCTTCTCCTCTTATTCTCTGTGCTCTCGGCTCGTCAAACCGTGGCCTATAGGACCCAAACCAAGCGCTCTGGGGAGCATTTCACCGTCGGTAATGGAGCTCTGCCGCACCGATTTTCTTCTCCGGCCGGTGACTCTCTCTCCCCCTCCTTTCTAATATGGGCCATCTAGATTCAATCCAACGGTCCAAGATCGCCCGTACCCCTTCATCGGGTTTATTTGCAAAAGAGCTCCTGCAATTCGCGTAATATAACCCGCAGTCCATGGCGCACTTCCAGAATACGTTTTCCTATTTCGAAAGCGTAGTTTCTTTCTAGTAGATTCAGAATACGTTTTCTCTTTCAGAAAGTGTAAAATCCCTATGTTAGATTCAGAATACGTTTTCTTCTTTTGAAAACAAAGCTTTTTCGGTTAGATCCAAAATACGCTTTCATCTATTTACAGTTTTGTCACTAGTCATATTTAGGCCATAAAATCTTCGTTTTAACTCTGTTTTGATCCATTCAAATTGTGTTAGATTCGTAATTGAGTAGTCTACATGTTCATCCTACTGTTAAATATATTTTCAACTTTTAAAATTTGAGGTTAGATTTAATCTATTATTTTATTAAAGAAAATCTTGTTTAATTCATAACATTTTCGTTATAGCTCCGATTAGAGTGCTTTTTCCCATCTGTGTGTTTATAGTAACGTGTAGAACATCTTCAAAACCTTTTTAACTATTGTTTATTATGTTTGGTATATTGTTCTAATTTATTTCTATTGTTTGCTTCGTGTATGATTGCATTGATGTTTGTGTGGTGTTTTATGATCATGTCCAATCGGTGAGATATACACAGTGAATCCAGAAGCAATTCATTGAAGGTTTAGACTAGAAGAAAGATCTGAGTTTAAGGCAAGTATAGCATGAGATCTTTCTTGTTGTCCTATTCACCTTAATATCATTTTAATCATATACATGTGTCTACCTTGGCAACTATAGTAATTTTCCTAGCTATTTGATATCTTGATTCCTTGATTTCTATGGGTTATTGCATTGGGTAGTATGATGCTAGTGCTCAACTAAAGCCATGATCTTGTAACTTGACTAATGGTATATAAAATAAACATTAAAAGATATTTTTTAGCAATATGGAATAAGGGGGCTAGAGCATTGGATTGTTTTTATGGTGCTCTAGATTTCTCTTCCTAATGAGTTATCTGTAAGCGAACATCCGGGACTTACAGTACAGCTATAAGGGCTACATGGCTCTAGCTTTAGCTCAGTATGAGGACTTTTTCTAGCTTGTTAGTGGTTACCTTTATGGTGCAAGAGGGGCTCCGACAGGTATGATCTTGGCCTTGCCAAGAGGGTGCACTTTGGTTTCTTAGTTTTTTTATTAGTCACTCCTTGGAGGGGGGTCATGCTTATTGATGGGAAAACCTTCGCGGTCCTAACTTGTTAGACGAACCTTTGAAAGGCTTCATAGTGAACCCTACCGACCTTCCTTGGTAGTGGGTCAAGAGGTTGGCCGCCTCGGGTGAAAGGGTAAATCATGACTCATAGTGAAAGTGTATAACCTCTGTAGAGTGTAAAACTGGTATATCAGCCGTGCGCACGATCACGAGCGGCCTTGGACCCTTACAGAATAGATGTTGAACACTGATGATACTGATGATAAAGATGCTCATTAATGGTTAATTATTTATACTATTCATTATTTATGTTTACCTGATCATATGTTTATATAGGTCTGTGATAAACTTATTGCACTCCTATGCTAAAATTGTGACAATTAAAAGCTAATCACAGTAGAACCAGTGTTAGCCTTTCGAACCTCATGAACCCCATGTTATATTTGTTGAGTACGACATATACTTACGCTTGCTTTATTTTTCACATATTTGGAAAAAAATCCCAGATGGGTACCAGATTGCTAGAGTTTAGAGAAATTAGGCTTGTGATCAACCAGTCAGTTGTCCCTGTGGAATTGGAGTCTTCACCCAAAGATCGGAGTTGTCTTTTTCACTATTTGCTGTCTAAGGTTATATCCTTTTATACTAAGTATGTTATATATTAAATATTATCTATTGATATTACCTTTATTTGTAGCTATATATGAGATTTGACTTTCTAGGCTTACATATGGTGTGTATCTGGTTTTGTCCTTAAAACTGGGTGCTACAGCAAGGACGAGACAACACCTCGCAAAACTTTCACCAGCATCTTAGTGAGGTGCTTTTAACTTCCTTGCTACACCTCTCATGGTAGAGAGGCAAGCATAGGCGTGGAAGAGAAGCGCCGCTGTCGTCATTGCTGCTGCTCTAGAGGAAAGAGGATTGCTAGGGTGTCGGAGTGATGAACCAGCAGCAGCAGGGCTGCATAGGGCAAGAAGGTGGCAACTGTATATATAGACATTACCTTCCTAGTGGCCCTACGCTCATTGGAACCATCATAGGAGCCACCACCGGCATCCCAGCAGCCCTAATGACGAAGCC